TTGTTTAACAAAATCTGCATATATATATATGTAAATGAAACAATATGAAAATGACTTTAAACTATTTTAAAACCTCTTTATTGATTACTATTAATTTAAAAGAAATGAATATAATAATAAAGACATAATCTACCGGTTTCATATCATCCAGGATACTCTTCAGTTTCCACAATAAAGCTTTCTCGTTCGCTCTCTCTTCTCCGGATCGGGATTTAGGTCATTCACCTGGGAGGGTCAGGTTCAAGTAGACCTCTTCCTCCCTTCTGTACGGTTGTTATTGATTTTTTTTTCTTTGGTTCAGGTTTTTTTTTTTTTTTTTTTTTGGTTGGCGGGTTTGATATGGGGTTGATGTATTTCTGTTAGTATTTTCCTTTTCAGGGCCATGTCCGTTTTATGTTATCAAGTTGTATGTGTGTGTTGTCCTATTTTTGGGTGTTAGTGTACTTTGGGTCTATAGTAGAAGTAGTAAGTGTGGTAATAATAAAGGTAGTTCTTGTGCTGCTGTTTTTGTGATTATTGGGAATATATTATTTTTGTTTTGAGGGCTGTTATATTTTTCCACGGCTATTTTGAATATGTTTTTGATTGTCTCTACTACTTTGTTCATGAATTTCTGTGTTTTTGTGATTTTCTCTTCTTGTGCTTGTGTAGTTGTTTCCGTTCCGGTGTGGGTTTTTAATGCTTGTGCGAATGTCTTTGCTGTAGACTGTTTGTTTGTACTGCAAGCTTTCTCATAGAAGACCTACTTAACAATCTAAAACTTCCCGCGTTTTTTTTTTACCTTAAAGCTTTATATATGTTTTAAACTCCCTCTGTATGTTAAACTATGTAACATTTAATATGGTTTTAAATTTATGAATAAAATAATTTGCATAAAATAATCTCATATTCTTTTCACAAGAATACCAAAAAAGGTTCTTCTAAAATATGATATTTTTCCACATACACTTATTAATATCTTTGTTAACAGGAAATTGGTTATTATTTGTATTTCTGACATGAAATTTGTGTAAGTTTATTCTCAAACGTAAATTTTCTGTTTCTCCAACATATATTTGCTTATAACAAACACAAGAAAATATATAAATAACATTATACGAATTACAGATAAATCTAGAGCTTATAAAATATATTTTCTCACCAATGTTATTTTCACAAACATTACAGTTTGGTTTATTACAGGAAAAATACCTTCATCACATTTCTTTACTTTATTTCTCTTTTTTAAGATAGCATATAAATGTAT